TCACAGTGAAAGGAACAACCAGTTGTGCGTTCACAGACGTCAGCATGGCTCTGAAAAACTCACTAAGCACGAGAATGGAACTCGCAACGAAATTCCACAGTCGTGTAGTCCCTGTCTCTCGGCCTCGGTCGTCGAGCTCCTTGGACTTTAGATGACAACGGCCGGGCCCAGGCATTGGCACCGGTGCAAAAACTTGACAGCTGAGGTGTGCTCGGTATAGCCGAACTACTATTGTAGTTTCAGAGGTGCGGCTCGTTGAACCAGGATCCTTATAGCGTGTGGTCGCTGACTGAGTGTTCCGAGGAGGCATAGATCCAGGATCTTTGCGACTTGTGCGGGGAATGCAAAGCTGGGCGGTCCCAAGCTGTGGTAATAGGGGTCTCCCCACAAGTTGAGACTAACTTTCGAAACACGTTGCTGTGCCTCAGAGTCTGCGCAGATGTGACGGTCGCAATGCGGTTGGAATGTTATTGGAAGAATGCAGGGAACATAGGGTCGGTTGGAGTTCCCAATAGCTCTGCGTGCCAGACAGTAGACCAGTCTTCATACAGCGTGCCTTGAGCAGAAAAACAGGCTCTCTGTAGGTCGGGCTTTGATGGCCTTAACGTTGGCTTACTAGTATATGGAGGTGACGAGACTGAGCGAAGAAATGTTGTCGTTTCACACAGGACAGGTGGTACTGAAGCAATAGAAGGTTTCCTGTAGCGACGGTGATCAGTGAACTCTTGGTTAAACAAGAGACATCAACCTGCATTTTCAAAGACATCTCGTCTATAGCTTGCATTGGTAATGAATCTGGAAGTGCCACAACTTAGGAACAACAGTGCGATCAAACTGCAACAACATGAAGTAAAGACTAATACCACAGAGCAGGCAAACGGACTCCCTAAATCTCGATCGCGCGACGTAGATGAGACACAGAAATCCCAATCGTTGTCTCGGCTCGAGCTACCTGCTCACATTTGAAGCATTTTATGATCGCCTCAATCTTTTTGGAAATCTTTCCAGCTCAGATCCTCGTCCTGGATGACGAGTCATCTCAGAAGCGATCATCTGGGCTAGGGGTTCACTGACATACGTAGGGCACCCTTGAAGTATAGCCGACTTCAGCTCGCTTAGGTCTCCTTCTCTGCTGCGGCAGTGCTGTATGAGCTTCTCCAAGACTAACATGGTAAACGTAGCTCTCGGCGGGTCAGCTGCCAATCTTGCTGTGAGGCCCTTGAGCTCGTTGCAAAATGAAGCTAGAATTGACTCTTCCGGGTGTCTTCTCGCTAAGTTCCCAAAGGCAGCTTCTACAGTTGAGCCATCCTGCCTTTTCAGCTCGGGCACACCCAGACTAGCGCCTGCTCGCAGAAATGCATCTAGGGTTCTTGAGTAGTCTTCGAAGCATTCTTCTCCAAGGAACTTGGACAGGGAAATGTCCAAGAAGTGTGAGAAAACGGTGCGTGCTCCCGGGCGGTCCAGCAGAGGTTTGTTGGGGTCCGCGCCGTGAGACAGCAAGCGGCTAAAGGTGGCATTCTTCAGGGAGTCGTTCCATCGTTTAGCAGGGAACATGCACGATCCTGAGAGCATATTGAAGACAGACATGGTGCTGCGAGAGAACGCAACCCATGACGAAGGTGCATCAAGATCGCTCACAATGCCCAATTCTCTCGGAATTGAGTTTGGATCCTCTCCACGGCGAAGAAGGATATCGAGAACCTCCATTGCAGGCGCAGCACTTTCGCCACTGCTGCGAGACATGGGCATAAGCGCTGCGTACAGGGGCGACTCATCGAAGACATCGAAGAAATCCGGCGACTGTTGAATCTTCTTTTCCAAATAAGGTGCCAGATCATGTCGGAGGAGCTCCTCGCGGAATAGGACTCTTGGATCGTATCCGCTAGATTTAACGCCTCTAATAGTCAATTGACCGCGCCTGACCATGTTCACGATTGCTGCCTCGTACTCATCTAAGAGCTCTTCGACCTGCCGACCCTGGCTGGAAGCAGGCTGTTCTGTCTGTTTTAACGCTTCGGACGCGTAAAGCAGGGCTTGGTTCAGATGCGCGACGAATGGACCGCTATTCAGACCTCGCCCTTGCCGGATAATGTCTGCGACAAGCGAGTTATCTTGGCGTGTGGCTCTAAGGAACCCGAGATATGCAGCAGCAATGGAGATGAAGCCATTATAGCCAGCCGGGAGCTTTCCCTGGAGGTACTCGCCGATGTCTTTTGTTGAGACGAAGTCCTTTACGGTCCTGTGAAGAAACTCGACCCGGTTGTTGACAAGCTTGAGTAGTCCTTTTGTCTTCTCATTGATACTGTGACTGGACTTCTCTCTCCGCAGGACGACATTTTGGTCGGGGGTTGGTGCTTTTGCTTCCTCAGAGAGAGAGTCGACATCTTCTAGTTCTCTTTCCAATTGCCAGTAAATGTCAATATGAAGCGGCTCCAGCGCATGTATGGCACCTTGAAGGATCCCCGCCATTACACGATGATCGGCAGGATTCACGCTGTCCAACATATGTTGGAATAGATGATCCAAGTCTGAGGGTAGTCGGCTGAAGCGTGCCGCCAGTTCTTCCAATCTCTCGCCATTCGAAAGACCTTCTCGTAAAGATCGCGTTACAAAGAAAGCCCAGAGAAATACACCATCGGCCTGAGCTACGATTCGATCGACGACCTCAGCCTGCTCCCAGAAAGCGTTTTCAGACGTGTCGAGACTCCAGCGGGGATCAGCCCTCAGCTGATCATACACGAACTTTCGAATGTCGTCCTTTGTTAGCTCATGAATATCAAGGCTCTCTTGGTCGTCTTGACCGAAACTCCTTTCAAAGACTGGCCATCGACGGCTGGACAGACACATCTTGATATGCGGGGATTTAGCCATGTCAAGAAGCACTTGGCAGAGTTCAGCGTGGTTGCTGTCGTACTCATCGAGTCCGTCAATGAAGAAACATATCTTCAGAGGGACGTGATCAGCTGTTGATAATGATCGCAACGCAGCAGCCAGCTCGAACACAGACCAGGGTTCAGCAGCGGTCTGCCATCTTCCAGCCTTGGCTGCCGCCCATCGATGAGGGGAGGCGATGGATACAACGTCTGGGTGTTCATGTAGCAAGTCGTAGAGCAGAGACTGGAGAAGCCCCTGCCATGACTTCTGGATCGGCGTACCCGCGATCCAGAAACAATGTGACGCAACAGCTAGTGAGCTGGATGAGCCTGCCCATCGTTCCAGCGACTCTCTCGTCCGAGAATGATTGGCAATGAATTTCATGAAAGTGGACTTGCCAGATCCGGGCTTGCCTGAGACCCAAAAAGTTCCACTTCCGGAGACAAACCAATCTGACAACCGAGAGTCGAGTGCCCACTGGAACGTATCCTGGTGAGCTTGCGGGATAGAATCAAGGCGAGCAGGTCGACTGGTGTAATTCAGGCTTGATACAATCGTGTCGGCGAGTAAGGTATCTTCTGACTTGGTCAGTCTTGTGAGCAGGACCTTCAACTGTTTGACGTCGGCCTCCGAGTAGCTTGCATGTGGATCCGTGAGCTGCTTATGCGTTTGCGATTTCAGGTCTTCCAGGTCACTTGACATAACGTCAACCTGGGATTTCTGTTCTGGTCGGGCATACCGCCCCTGACTCTCCAGTACTTTCAAGGACTGGCTTAATCGGGATAGACGGGCGCTGTGATTCGAAGTCAGATAGTATCATGACATGGTCTTTGTACCACGTACTTGAGTAAAACAGTGACTTGACGCGTCACCGTAGTGTTAAGGCGATCAATTTCACGCTCGTAGTACGCGTCTTCCCGCTGAAGCCATAGGGAGCCTCGCGTCTCTGTCTCGGCTATCGTACTCTCGGAAGACCGTCGTACGATGGACTCCAGGTTCTCCAAAAGCGCGATGCAAGTGTCTCGGGAGGTAGGTACATCTTGTAGCGAAAGTGAAGTACTCAAAGGCCTGGAATCACTCCCCGAGAACATCTGACTCTCTGCCAGAGCAAGTTTCAATCTTGTGACAGTGCCCAAATCGACTTTTTCATTGTTGTGACTTCGGCTTCCGGTGGCCTGGGACGCTGAGATGATTGCCAGAATGCATCTCGTTGCATTCAAAATGAGGCCCGCGGTATCGAGGGCTACGATGGCATCCATACTAGCGACGTGAGGTAGAACGCATTCACGTTCGGATGGGTGGTGAAAAGATGTTAGTAGGAGAATTTTGGACACAACAGCATGTGCGGGGTCAAGTGAAAAGGGGGAGAAGACACATTTGCCTGAATGTTCATGACTGATAAGAAGCCGGGCTCGTCCAGACAGCGACTGGAAGGCACGTACGTGGGAACACACATTAAGGGCGTATTCTCGTGGCCCCTTCCATGCAGGACAGGGGTGTCTCAAACTCACCTTACCCATGTGTGGGGGTGACCGTCTTTTGCCTCGCGGCTGATTGATAACGCGGAACTGGCCAGGTTGGAAGCATTTTCGGCGCTCACGGGGTTGACATCGTAGAGTGCAGATCAATGTCCGTACATGTGAATGATGCGATTACCTAAAGTACATAGAGTATTTGGGCATATTAGAGCTCAGAGCCATGACAAAGACGAAGTGCGAAGGAGCAAAACTTCCCTTTGCGCCGTTCCAGTTGATGATTCTCCATTCACTGGTCCATCGTAAGATCTTAGCGCTGAGAAAAGTCTGACAGCAAACACTGGGGTGGGAAACGTCCAGTTTCTGGTCAAAAGTCCGCCCAAACCCTGGCGGGCTTGCAGGGGTGGTCGTCAAAGTCCCCTTTAGTATTATTGGTCATTCGTAAAACTGTCCAGTAATGAGAAGAAATGAATTGTTGGCTGGTAAGCATGACGATTCAAGTGGCCGGGAGGTGCAGTGATAAGCACCTTAATTTGTGAGATTTTGTCTGACAGAGCGTGGGCACCCTCCGCCTATTGTGTCTCAGGGCCGTGTCGCTTGCGCAAATAAAGAGAATTGGGCCACTCAGCTTGATGGCACCAACGTAGCCATCATAAAAAAGCACTTTTGTCACCTGGAAATTTCCAAGCCGTCGGCAGAAGAGCGGGCTTTTGGACCTCGGTTGCATAAATACATGCTGGGTCCTCGTTCTTTCCACTGGAGTTTCCACAGTACCTTAGTAGGACGATATTCAAACACCAAACCTCAAAATCGCTGTGTGCAACTGGAGAATTGTTAAGTCGTGAGATATCAGACTGATAAAGCGAAAGTCAGTGATCATGTCGCTTGCCGGAATGCGCAATCTGCTCTCTCAGTGGTTTCCTCCACAATCAACCTACACCGAGCAACACGTCCCATCTCAGAAAGGGAAAGTGTTCATCGTCACGGGTGCCAACCATGGCATTGGATTTGAGCTTGTCAAGATTCTATATGCAACTGGGGCTAAAATATACATGGCATCGCGATCTAAGGTGAGTCTCATACTCTCATTGCAAGGGCAATATCTCTGAGCTTGGCATAGTTGCCGACATTCTCGATACTTGAGTGCTATCTTAAGTCAAGGGTCTTCAACTTTGGTTTGTGATGGAGGCGGTTGTGTGAGTCTTGTTACCGGTCGAAGACTGACCAGACCTACTACTGAGCTAGGAACGTGCCGGGAAAGCGATAGAGACCATCACAACCGCCAGACCCGCACCTGAAACCCCTGGCACCATAGTCTTCCTTCCCTTTGATCTGAACGATCTTGGAAGCGTCAAAACAGCCGCCGCCACCTTTGCGCAACAAGAGCCAAAGCTCCATATTCTCTGGAACAATGCTGGTTCAGGCGCTTATAGAATTGAAGAAGGCGCCAAGACGAAGCAAGGCTTCGAGCCAATGATTGGCATGCACTGCATTGCTGCGCAGCTGTTCACGCACCTCCTCCTTCCTCAACTCCGAGCAGCCGCGGTAGAAGCACCAAGAGGCTCGGTGCGTGTTGTCTGGACTGCGAGTTTCATGGCGGAACTGTCAACTGGCGAGAATGGCGTCGACTTTGACCATCTCGCAGAGGGCACGCCTGATCGTGCGCTGAACTATGCCGTCTCCAAGTTCGGCAACTGGCTTCTCGGCCGCGAGATGGCTTGTCGCTATGGTTCTGACAACATTGTCAGCGTCATCCAAAACCCTGGTAACTTAAAAGCGGGCGCCTATGACGGTGTCCCGGCGTTTTCAATGCTCTTTATCACTCCCTTCCTGTACGAAACCAAATTCGGCGCGTACACTGAGCTGTACGCAGGCCTATCCCCCGATATCTCGCTCGACAACAATGGCGCGTACGTAATTCCCTGGGGACGCATTCGCGTTGAGGAGGATATTCCAAGGAAGGATATCGTGAAGGCCTTGAAGCCGCAGACGGAAGGGGGCCTCGGTTATACGACCAAGTTCTGGGACTGGTGCGAGGAACAATGGAAGCCCTTCGTCTGAAAACAGGCAAGTTTTTATTCTCGCTCTAAGGCACCTTACTCTGACAACATAGGTTGAAGGGGAAGAAATGTGGGAGTTAGTCCATGTCTCTCAGCTCTACCATCCCAAATTACAAGGTATCAACGCCATGAGAAGTGCATTAATAACGTTCTACTTGCCTCAGCATGTGGTGAAACATTGCTCAAAATGACCTTTTGCTGACAACAAGCCTCGGCACGCCACGACTTATTCCAGGATCGCGGAGATAACCTGCTCGGCAGTGGGGCGACGTCGGGTCCGTACCCGGAGTGGTGGAAAGGCAGAGGTACGTGTAGTCCAATTAAGAAGAGTGAAGCCATATTGGGTAGGCATCTCCACTCTCAGAAGAATAAATGGCACTGACTGTCAAGGTCTCAAAACACTTGGATTATAAAGTATCAGGGTATCTATCTCGGCCGCAGCCAATTCATTATACATAAAATACATTTGAGGGGTTTAGGCCGCAATGTCCTTGCCCTTCTCCTCAATCTCGAGTTCGCGAGTGGGCTGTTGCGCCTTGCTGCCCCAGCGGCCCATGAAGAAGTTGCCGAAAGCTTGGGTGTTGTTCCTCATGTTCATGGCAACAATTTCGCTGGTTGGCTTCTCGAAAAGACGATCGATATCCTCGAGGGTCTTGTCCTTGGTCTCGGGCATGAAGATCATCTATGGATTGTTAGTCTGCGTTTTGATGTCACATATCAATGGAAATATTTACCTGGTAGAACCATCCCAAGATGGCAATGCCTCCATAGAAGCCAAGAGTGAGACCGGTACGGGTCATGGCCTCCTGCATGGCAGAGAAGTTGTAGGTGACGATGAAGGAAGACAGGAAGAGCAGACCAGATGAGGTGGTCATGCCGTAGGATCGGAGGTAGGTAGGGTAGACCTCAGAAGGAACAACCCAGGTGAGACAAGCGTAGCAGCCGAAGAAGCCCATGTACAGAGCCAGACCGATGAGGTAGCAAGCCACGGCACCAGTAGTGTTGGTATCGGTAGGAATCTGGTAGCTAGCGCCAATGATGACCAATCCCACGAAGAAACCGGGAAGCATAGTGTTGGCCCAGAAGCGACGACCAAACTTCTCCATGTAGAAGCAGGCGGGGATGGTACCGATGAGCAGAGAGCCACCACCGACAAGAGACATGTAGGTGGCCTTCTCGTCATTGAAACCAATCTGCTGCATGAGGATGGACATGTAGTACATGATGGCGTTGACACCAGTAAGCTGGCCAAGAAGAATCATAATGTTGGCGTAGACCAGAGCACGACGGGCGCGGGGGACGGTGATGAAGTCCATCCAGGGGAAGCGCTTGTTCTTGGCACCCTCGGAGACCTGCTGCTTCTCATCGACGACGGACACTTTCATGACGAAAAACTCCTCTCTGGCCTCGGGGGTAGAGGTGCCACGGATACGCTTCCACACCTTGTAGGCTTCGAGCGTCTTGCCCTTGTGCATCAGGTAACGAGGAGACTCGGGCAGGAAGAGCATGCCGGCGAACATGATGGTGGAAAAGAGAAGGGATGATCCGAGAATCCAGCGCCAGTTTCCGGGCACATGGATAAAGATGGCGGCGACGGCGTAGCCGAGAACCTCACCGAGGGCGATATTGAGTTGGTATAGGGAGACGACGTTACCACGAATGCGGCGTTCGGCAGTCTCAGCGACGTAGACAGGGACAGTACCACCCTCGAGACCGACACCCATGCCAAGAATAACACGGGCAGAAACAATCATGCCTTCAAAACAAGTTAGCCATGTCAAGCATGCAGACCTGGAATGGGTTGTAGATGGACTCACCAAAGTTCTGTGCGCCGGCGCAAAGTGCACCACCGATGGTGTAAAGGATGCAAGAGATGATGATGGACATCTTTCGGCCGAGGTATTCGTTCGAGGGACTGAGGATGATGGCACCACCGACGGCACCGAGAGGCATAGCAGAGTTGACGAGAGAATTTTGGCGGGTGGTGAGACCGAGATCGCCGGGAAGGAAGAGGTTGGCGCCAGAGATGAGAGACTGATCGAGACCGGAAAGAAGACCACCCATTGAGGCGAAGGCTACAATAAGCCAGGTGAAGTACTTTGTGTTGGTGAACTCCAGTTGGAAAAAGCCCTTCTTCAAACCACCAGCAGCCTCCAACTCCCGCTCCATGCTGTCGATGAAGGCATCGACCTCCCAACCACCAGCCGCGGCGATGGCGGCAGCATCCTTCTCGTTCACACCAGGAAGGGCGCTGGCGAGGTTCTCGACGTGAGCCTCATTTTGGCTGTCCGGGTTGTGTTTGCCCGAAATCTTCGGGGCAAGATTGACTCCGTGCATGTTGTTGGGGTTTTCCGCGCTGCCGCGAGCCAAGACCTCGTCTAAACAGAGATTGGCCCAAAGGGGTAATAGTAGATCTGATTAAGGCTGATGCTAAGAAATGCGGCTCTGATGGTCCGGAGGGAAAAAGACACCTGCCAAGCAAAGACAACTTATACCAGAGACTGGGACGAGCCGGGCTTTTAATCACACTGCTCACTTCTCACCACTACTCACGACGACACACTAGTAGATCAACAATAAGAGCGGCCAATATTGCAAGTCAGCCAACCCGAAGACGGCATTCATGGATTGTGGATTCCTCGCCCGACTCTCGACGTGACCGTCTGTCTAACCTCGACACCAACATCGTCATCCGAAATTTTTGTCTGGTGTTAGTGTGGAGACCTGGAGAGAAACGGCCGAAGTAGGAGCGACCTCTTGTCCGCATTTCAGGCCTCTTCTCCAGTGGAGAGACCCCAGGAACACGGAACATGCACTTGGAGAACATTAAGCAGGCTGGGGCAAAGGCCGGAGGGATGGCGGAGGGCAGCTGTTGCGGGCGCTGAGCTCTATTGCCCTTGGGGCTCCAGACTTTCCTCACACACAATCTGCAGAGCGTGACCATGGGGCGACGCGGAGCCCGGGGTCCCAGTTGTCTGTTCTGGCCCCCAGTTCTGGCAGGCAAAAGCAGGCCAAAGGACTCGCGGAGATCAGGCCGCGACGACCGTTCTTCTTCCCATCTGACTCGCGACTCCACATCCGCGCAGGATAGCGTTTGTGCGAGACCCGCCCGAAGGGTGGGTGGTTTGACCGAAAATTCTCCCGGTACCGCGTTCTGGATCTACTCGGTGACAATCCGAAGGCCGCACCGTTCGTTCTCGTGACGACGACGGAAACATACGGACTCTCCGCGTGGAGAAAGCAGACTCCAGAGTCACCAACATGTTAAAATTTCTCACTCTGGGGATTGGATTGGGGAAGGTTTTCTGGGACCTTGGAGATGTGGGCTGACGTCAACCCTAGGGGAAAAAATCTAGAAGCGGCACATGGACAGTCAGACTGGTGTTGTTTGCGAGCAAGAAGTTTTCGGCGGTGCTCGGCGATGATAGCCGTCCGTTGACGACGTGTTTCTTATTTTTTATCTTCTTTTATCTTTGTGGTGTTCCTCTGTTAATATTCTTTTCCCAAATACCCATGGACAAGATCTAGCATCCCCCTGGTCTTGCTGTATCTGTTACTTTACAGAGAACGTGGTCTGACACATCACCACGTGCTGAGAACATTTCTCCTTCGGGACGAGCAGATCGCCATCGTCGTGCCTGACCGCTTGGTGGCTTGTTCCTAGCTCCCGCCAGCTACAGGTCCCGGTCCGGGTGGGAAGCCGCATTCTTGGCTGATGACAAGAATTATCTGGCCGGCTTGGCGCTCCGTCAGGCGGCAGGGGAGTCTGCCAGGCCGCAGCCGCCGCACCGATCGCGCGATGCGGCGAGCAGCGCACTAAGGCAGGCGAAGAGGAAGAGAAACGGCTTCCGACTGGTGCTAGTCCAAAATTCGGCCTTCTAGCTCGTAGACCGGCTTAGCAAGGCCGATACGACACTCATCCTGTTACAGATTGTCACGAAAATTCGTTCATCCCTTTTAGCGTCGCGACAGGGCTCTCCTAGGCTTCATGTGGGGGGCAAAAGAAAAATTGGCAAGATTGCAAATATCAAGGAAACAATGCCTAAAAAACCTGATTGTAGCGCTCAAGACATGGGTTATCTGTGCGAAAATGACACATTTAGAATCTCTTTGAACTCTGATGGATCATTAAAGTTGTCGAACCAACTGCCACCCCATCGATTCAAATCACTATGTATGTTTTGCTGCTCATCGGTCTTTAGTTATTTAGACCTCCTCTCTGGAGGTGGTTCACTGTTGTTCTTCAAAAGTCTGCCCGAATTCGCCCGGCATTCATGCAACCCACAGAAAATCCCTTCTTTTCCCCTCACAGACCATTCGAACCCCCGCGAAATGGAATGGAGCAAGCATGGCTGGGTCACATCAGCAACCTGTGGATCATTCCAATCATGTCTCATTGGCCTTTGAACCCTGCAAGAGTGTTCCGTAAGTCCGAAAGATAACTTTGACCATCAGGCCGGTTCAGCCGTTCGATCGTTACACTTCATCTCTGCATGTGCGTTACCGGCGGTATGGACTTTCCTTTGTCAAAGATAAGGAATCGCTATCTTATCGTTTCCCGCCGGACCGCGAGATTTTTGAGCACGCCGATCGTATACTGACAATGATTTTCTTGATCGGTTGCCGTTGTGGCTTCACGAGTCAGACTAGAGAGCTAGTCCTGCCGATCTTGGCGCACCTTGTCAAGCTTGCCGCCGTTGTGAGCCCGAGGAGAATGGGCTAAGGTTTCTAGCACTACAGGTAGGCCCAGAAGTAAAGCCGGCGCTACATGCAAGCCTTCTGCAAGCCAAGCGATGCTAGATGGACACTGTATCCGTACTAGTTTGGTAAGCTTATGATGTCAATAAAGCCTATTCAAGCTGCCACAGCCATCGTCTCATCAACCCTTAAACATACGCTGGACCCTTCCCTGCGCCTCATCAAGCTAACGATCAAAAAGTCGGCTCTTGATTATGGTTGTGAGGCTTCGTATCGTTATGGGAAAAGCCACTTGAACTTAGATGAAAAGCTTTCCGCAAACAGAGTCTCCTTGGTTCATTCCGAAGACACCAAGGCATGTAA